GGGTGTTTGTTTATTCGGTTCCTAAAGCTGCTGAGGAAGGGGGAGGTCTCCTCCTGGGTCATCCATCATGACTGTGGCAGGGACCCTGCCCAGAAGACCCACCTCCCTTCTGCCTCACTTCTCCTAAACTATTAATATGAAAATCTGCTTTATAACATCTCCACCCAGTCCCCCCTTATTCTCTCTGTGGGGTTTTCCTCCCCCTACTAAACTTGGCCAGAAACACTCTCAAAGCCTCCCCCCCTCCTTCAATTGTGTCTGTTTCTCAGGTTACAACTCTAATAACTCTCCTGCCTTGAGAATGATACCCACTTAATTTGACAAGGTTTACTTTGGAGTGAACATGCAGAAGGCTGTGGGGTAGAGGAGAAGCGAAGAATAGCAACTCTTTAAAAAGCCACAATTTGTATGAGGAATTAGAGCTCCTGGATCCTAGTCCTACACTAATATAGAGGTAAAGAAAGGCCAAGGCTGTCTTCCTAACAAAAGAGGAAGCTTGAAATATCTTTCTTCTTGGATCCACTGGATTTTCCCCATCTCGCAAAAGAGGGGATACCCACATACACCCACACACACCAAATAATGTATCCTGCCATTTCTCACAGGCACTGTGATCTTTCTGTCATGGGCTTTTCCCTTCTTGCCATCCCCTTAATGGGATTTAGACTTATTTATTCATTACTATTTATATATGTATGCACTACGTATGATGCTATATGTGAATTATGTTGTCGTGATTTGTGCTTTTAGCAGTGCTCACACATGGCACAAAAGCTTTTAGGGACTCAGAGCAGCCCCTTCCTGTCCATCCTATACAAATTTGCTGGGCCTTCTGTAAGTTCATAGTATTTTCCTCTTTAGCTACAGATGGAAATTGCAATCTTGTAGTCCTATTTCAAACATACCTACTTAGATGTAAATTGCATTGCAGCCCTGGCATCAGGTCTGAAGGGAGAATTTGGGTCCTGCAGAGAAATAATGTTAAAATTTAAAACATTTATTTGGTGAAACTTTTAGATGACACTGCATCATTCACCACATATACATTTTGCTTTGTACGTGAACTGAATATACAATTTTGTCTAGGGAAAAAAATGTGTTCCCAAACCAATTTCATTTCTCCCTTTTACATTAGAAAGTCTACCAAAAACAGCTAGAAGTTAAAACTCCTGTTTTCCTTTTCAAGATTCCTTCCGTAACAAAGAATGGATCAATTTCAAGCTTTTCTTATTTTCTAGGATTACAGAGTCTTCTCTGGTTTGTTCAGGGAAATGGAAAATTAGATATCCCTCCCAATAAACAAGAGGTGTTTTCTATTTTCTATTACCTTTCGTTTCCCAGAACGTAAGCAATTTTAGTCAGACTAAAGTATTTCCTTTAACACTGTGCCGCTGTCAAAACACTATTCCCATTTTCTTTCATTTTTGACAGCTGAACATTTCTTAAATATACCCAAATCAGAATTCTCCATGCTAAATAGTAAACCTCAGATGGCACAATCTTTTCACATTATAGTGCAGCTCAGATTCTACCAACATGCAGATTAGAATCTAGGTAGAGAAAAGATGCTGTAGGAATAAAAAGATTTTAGTTCATTACAAAAATAAGAAAAAGATAAGTTTGCTGGGTAAATTTAATATTTTCACCGAAAACCCTGTATTTTGCCAAGGTCAGGAAATAATCACAACATCTGATTTCAAATATGACCATTTGGTTTCAGTTTCCTTTAAAAGAAAAAAAAAAGAAACGAGAATGTTTTGTTATTGCCCTAATAATCTAATGTTTAGTTTATATTTCCAAGAATGTAAGAACTGAATAACAGAACTGAGAATCATAAAGGTTTAAATGGAAGTTAAATTTAACATCTAATATAGAAATTGTTTTCTGTCCAAGTATAGTTGAGCTGTCTCAGCTGTGTAGGACTTCATATTCCTTTTCAGTTGTATAGCATTTTAAGACTGAAAGGTTGTTTTGCAATTGTTTTAATATGTTAAAGAATCAAATAAAAATATTTACCAATCAAGGTGAGGAAAAATGCCTGTGTGCAGCAGAAGACAATGGAAATGGTGCCCCATTTCCTGGTGGCACAAAAACTTCCCAAAGTAGCAGTTCATGTATGCCTGTATGTTCATTCCCTGTGCCATACCACTTGAAGCACATTGCTTCCCTTTCCTTATGAGATGTGGGGCAACTGGCTGATAATTTTCCTAATATTCTAGACCATTATTGTACTCCTTAACACTTATTCTATTAATTGAATTGTAGTCTTTCTGTTTCATGACATTAGATATGCTCCAGCAAAAATTCCTTTCTGCAGCTAATCTACCTACAATGAAAAGAGGTTATATTATGAAGCCACTCTACCAGGTACCTAGTGGCATGGGTGCTCTAACCATGGAGGAATGGGCAGAAATCTGGCTTGTTCTTCCTCTCCAGACCCCTGTGACTGTTTTGTTTCCAGCTCACTGAATTCCCTAACACTCATGGAATTCAGTAACACTCGGCTCTTATGAACCTACTGTAGTCTTACTCTCAATAGATCCTTTCATATGATTGATGTCATGTTAAAAAGAAACAATGTGAGAGGAGGCTATATGGCCCTGTGTGCATGGGTACAAACCAAAACCTGTTTATTCTTCTTCTGACAGTTAGGTCTCATTTTTAAGACAACATTATCAGTTTTTCTGCCATCAGTACAGCCTATTTCTTTAGGCCAGGACAGTTTCCCATTTTGTCCGTATGAAAAACTATTGTTATCTTTGTTACATTACTTTAAAAGTAACATTAATAATTTGGTATATTAATTCTAAAACCAGGAACCATTATTTTCTTAGTGTGGACAAAACATAAACCAGGTTGATTAGACTTCCTATTTTGATTTCTGTATCCTGTGAAGGGAAACAAAAGGTTCATGCATATCTTACCTTAATAAGCTGAAATGCAACAACCTGATAATATTTGTCGTTGTATCCTACTTTATGTACATAAAGTATTTGTATTTTGAGTACTATAAATTTATTTTAGGTATCTATGCCTGCATTGTTATGCACACATTTAAAAGAGAGGCATAATCAGAATATTTCTGTATAAACATACTTAGAGTTTCAGACTAATTTTTAGAGCTGAGCAAACCCTGGAAAAGTGCTTTGCAACATGTAGAAATATGTAACACTTCTTTTGAAATATTTTCACAGTCCTAATAATTATGATAAACATTGTCCAGCCCATTCTTATTCATTTAAAGAGGATTGATTTTGATATCTTTGTTATATATTTACATAAATAAAACAAAATGGTTTGGAAGTGAAATGGATAGGATAGGACAGGACAGGACAGGATAGGATGACAAGCAGATCTTCTAGTCCAACCCCCTGTCAGGGGCAGGAAACCCTATACCATTTCAGACAAATGGTTGTCCAATCTCTTTTTAAAAACTTCTAATCTTGGAGCACCCACAACTTCTGAAGACAAGTTGTTCCACTGATTAAGTACATCAGACATTAAATCTATTCATGAACTAACATTAATTCATCCTACATGACAGTCTATAAGCTTTGTATTACAGTCAGTTATGGGTTTGTTCAACTAAGACTAAGGAGAGAAATTGAAAAAAAAAAGAAACCCCTATTCATGTACTTCCTTTTACCACACATATGGAAACAGATATACGGTTTTGTTCTAGATATAAAGGTTACATATAATTCTAATAATATTATACCACATTAAAGGATTTATAACCTCATTTGCTATTATAAAGCCCTATAAATTTAGGTAAGTTTTATTTTAGTTATTATATGCAACAAATGCAAGATAATAGCTCTTGCTATCACTAGAAAATACATTATTCTAATGATTAAAAACGCAAATATCTAACCAAAAAATCAAAAAATGAAATATTTATTACCGCATTTTGTGACTTAACACTTTTTTTTAAAACATAACGTCACAGTCCTCATACAAGTATTTTAATGTAAATTTTGACAAAGCTTAAAGGTAACAGCATTTTTTTTCTAGTGAGGAACACGTGCTGAGAAAGGAAGAATTCATGGACATACAATACCAATTCCACAGCAGATCTGATACTAGCAAAAACATTCTTTTTTTTCAGTTGAGGTAAACACATAGAATATCTAACATGAAACAATTAATAGACTGAACTCTGTACGAAGTTTGTTACAGTATTCTCTTGCTTTTTCTCAAGCTTTGAGTTCATCATAGAGTTCTAGGTTTGGTACAAAGACCATTAATAACTTTTTTCTTAAGGAAAGCTGCCCAACCTTCAGATTCATCTTGTCCAAAGCCAAGACTCAGAATTACTAAAAGAAGCTCCTGCTCTGTTTTTTAAATCTTCACTAGCAGGCTCTTTGAAAAAAGAGTCCAAAAATATCTTGGGCTTACGAAGCACAAACTATAAAGATCTGTTTGAAACTAAAGGACACATTTATGAAGGAACAGAACCAGGGGATGGCAAGGCCTTTACGAAACTATCTTCTGAATGATGGAAGATCCAGCAAGATTCTGTCTTCATCTCCAGGTTAGTTCTTTTCTCACTGGCCAAAGAGATCTGAAATATGTTGTTTTCTTTCAGGGATAGCGACTTCACTGCTGAACCGAAACAATCATTCTTTTGGGAACAACACACATAGTGTGGAAAACAAGGATATTTTTTTCCTTCTAAAACTATCTGAGGCAACATAACGGAGTGATCAACAGAAATATACAAGTTAACTTAGTTCCTATGTTTATATACTACAGTAGTTATAACTCTTGGAGTCTTTTTTTTCCCAGAGGATCTTTACATGGACATAAATTCTTTTCAGTGTGCCCATGATTTCATATTTCCGTTCTTGTTTCCATTGGTCCTCTGTTGTTAATGAAAAATGATAAAAGTAAAAAATAATCACAGCCGTCTGGAATTGCGTATGAAGTGTCAACATCTGGTCAAAGTCCACAAGTTTTAAAATATTTTTTTCCTTGAGTTCCTTTATACTATTTGAGCA